CAACTCACAATCATTCCCTATGAGATGAACAATGAGACGTTATAAACAGATATGTGCAAGTTGAAGTGTAGAAAATTAGGCATGAATCATTGTTCTGGATTTTTCCGTCTCCCTTCTTGGACTCTTCAAACCACAATCTGTCCCATTACAATCAAAGCCGCACATCCAACGGCAGATTAATGGGAGACTTCCTCTACATGGCTTTGCACAGTGGTAATTCATCTTAATTGTGATACATTCCTTCTGGCTGCATTCCCAGCTCGCCAGATGCTCAACGTCTGTCTGACAAATAAATCCCTTACAGTGTCTTCAAAGCTTTCAGTTCTGGGCCTTGAGAGTCGGCGCTTGAAGCGTTTACAGGTCGGAAATGCAACGCGTGCTGGACAACATCTGCTGAAGCCTGAGTTCAGACTGGAGATCTGGATTCAAGAAAAACTACTCCTCTGGTTGGTGACCAGGGCGGTCTGGCTCTCCCGCCGCCTCTCCTTCTTCCTCTCCAGTCTCACCTTCCAGCAGACGGCGCTGGACGCTAGGAGCACCAGTCCGGCCGAGAGGAGCACAAGGCCAAAGTAAGAGATGGTGGATCCATGCGAGTTGAAGCTGTAAGCCACAGCAGTGACCACGATGCCCGCGATGAGCACCACCACTCCGAACGGGATGGTGCAGCGATAGCAGGACAGCTCCGCCCCGCCGGTGGCTGCGGTCAGCTGGATTTCATTGACCAGCGGGATGTTTACTGTGGTCACTGCAGGGCGCTCGTTGTTACTGGGCTTCTCTGGGGTCGCAGGGGTTCTCATGGCGTCCTTATGAGCGTCCTCAGGCATCGCAGGTTTCTGCAGCCTCTTGTTCAACCAACCACAGATGGTTCCTCAGCGTCGCCCTTTTACCCCTTTTCCTCGCTAGGGTCTCCCCGTCTGTGAGGAGAGAGAAACCTTTCATTAGAGTGAGTCAAACTTGTTGCTCAACACTTTTTGAGAAAGGAAAACAAAGACCTCACAGATCCTTTTTGTTGGAATTCAACCCCAACATTTCACAATTAACCACCTCTCCCTGACCGCCACATGCTGCTTCAATAAACCCTTGTAACCTCCCTGCGCAGCCGTCTCCTGACCCAGGCGAGAGGAGTTGGAGTCTGAATGACGCAGGACCACTCGGCCCAGCACGAGCTGAGACATTCCCAGGAGAACGCAGGATATGACATTACAAACTGCTCCGTGAAATGCGAGGAGCTTCGAAATCACCAGCAATTTCACAAGCACTCGTTCTTTACAACCCCCCCCCCCGGGTCTGATCCATGGAAAGCTGTGATTCAGATGCTGAGTGACAATAAAGGGGAGGTACGGTTTCAGTTGGACTTTCCCCTCAACGTCAGGGCTTTAAAACACCAGTGAGTTCATCTTTATGTGTTAAGGGGTGAGTATTTTTCATTGTTTTGAAAATTATATGTGTCGTGCATGAGTCTGATTCCCCATCATCTGTTCTTTGGAGGGTGATTGGCGGGATGATGGAAATTGAATTGGCTTTAATTGGCAGTAAATTGACATTATAAGGTCAAATTTTTATCTTATTTCTCCATCAGAATTGTATCCTGACTGTGCGCAGCAACTTTTTATCTTTAATTTATTCAATTTAATTTGAAAATTACATTCTGATATATTTTTAGAAATACAAAAAAATCTGATTTAGAAATTCTCAGAGGGAGAGCGATTCAATTGTTGATGTGTCGTCCCTCAGTGTTCACATACTCCATCAATGTTAAGGAAGATTGAGATCATCATTCAATGTCATTCAATTCACAGCTTTGGCCATTGCCATGGTAACCAGCTGTGTTTTTGCTTATTTTTTTGATTATATCTGCCTTACTGTAGAAAAACATGAATGATTATTAGTTGTTCTCAGACTGTTAGTGTTGCTCATCACAGATCTCAGCTGATGTTACCAGCGACGACACTGGGACAATGACATGTGACCACTTACCAGGAAAACAAGCTTCAACAAGCAAGACGTCAAAAAAAGTCAAGCGTCTGGGATGAATTAACTTCCAGATTTTTAGAGGTTAATCCCAAAAAGTTAAGTGACAAATCATAAATCTACCACTGAAAACTGGATGTAACAAGTAGCGATGAAGCTTCTAAACCCCAAACATGGTTTTCAGGATAGTGGTATAAAAAAAAAAGAAAAAAAAGAAATAGAAGTAGAAAGACATTTTTAGAAAGCAGAAAAGGTAAAAAGTATAAAAGACCCCCACAAAAGAAATGTCATTAAAGATGGTTGTCTTTTGTGGGCTTTTGAGCCAAGAAAAAAAAAACGTATAAACTTAAAATATGCAATATGTAAAGAAACAAAAAAAAGACATTCAGAAATGTTCTCTTTATCTGTTTTCTGTTTTCGGCTGCAAACCTCTTTATCTTAAATCTTTAATTATGAAACAAAAAAGAGGTAAAAGTGGTTGAAGTGCCCGCAGGAACAAACTGTTACGAGGTTTCCTGCTGTACTTGGACAAGACTGAAAATGTTTAAAGATGCTGAGATTCACATTCTTTAAATAAGGTTGTTCTCCTTTGACATCTACTGAAGAACAGTTGTTTTCTGTCTCTCAGTTGGAAAAAAGAAGCTTTAAATTTGCAGAATTAATTATAATAACAATAACTGATTCTCTGATTAAACCAACTTCATTTGATGTTAGTTTTTATGTGACTTTACTTCCCTTTGACTCTTCCCTATAATTTATAATTATCACTGCATCACTCTCGGGATGAAACCGACCATTTCTATTGTTGGTTCACTGCCAATTAATTTCTCAATTAATCAAGCAAAAAGTCAGAAAATTGTGAAAAATCCCCAAAGCAATGCTTTATTTTCTTTTACTAAACATCCAAAACCAAATATTTGCAGTTGACCGTCACAGAATGGTATTTTTTCTTCTTTTTTTATAATAATAAATTAAAACATAAACATTAAAGTAATGAAGTTGATCATCTAATCCATGAATCCACAAATCATTGCAGCTGAAGAAAATAAAGGCACGATGACACAAGAAATTAACTAAGACCCAATAAAAGTCAGAATAAAGCCAAAGAAAAATCATCAACAGGGCAGGATGAGCTCTGTTGAACTCTGGATCTTCAGATACAACATTCAATATGTGGTTATAAAGCTAATTATTCTGCAACATGTACACTTTTCACAAATAACAATACTTTATGGAGCCTATAATAATAATAATAATAATAACTGCCAGTGTACTTGACATGTTTGCTCTGAGCTGTGCAGAGAGAAGTACAGTGAGTTGTTACCTCAGAGCAGCAGCTGTCCATGTCCATGCTCCTCTGCTGCACTGAAACTTGTTCAGCATCAAATATTCACTTTAATCTTCTGAGTACAAACTTTCTCCTCTGAGCTGAAGTCGAAATCAAACTTCTCCTCTCGTCCCTCTCAAGCTTCCATTCATGAGAGACGTCCTCAGGTCGAGTGGCTGTGGGTCGGACTGTACCATCCTCAGTCAGAGCCGCTGTGTCAAGTATCCATGACTGTGAAGCTCAGGCAGATGAGAGAGAAGTACCTCTTCTGGTCAAGGATTTCACAATAAACCCCACGATGATCTGAGCTCAATTAGTAATGAGTGTGTGTATTTATTTTGAAGTCCAAATGTGTATATTTCCGTGACTATTTATAATATTGACTAGCTAATGGAGCTTGACGTCTTTTTTTAAAAATCAGTTACATTGATGATTGTAAAAAACCCTTGCACAGTAAAGTAGATATACATTTTTGTATCAGTAAAAACATGTGACACAATAGTTTTCCAAATTCAAGAAAATGACTTTGGTCTATTCAGCGAAAATATGACTTGAAATACTCATGTGTTGCCACAACTCTTGACACCAACTTTCTTGATCAGTGAAACAACAAAACTCTTCATTGAAAACGGTTCTTCTTTACTTTATAAAGCAAAATGTGCTTTGAATACAAGACTTAAAGAAAAAAAACCCACTTGGCTCATGTTAGTGTTTATATACATATTTTATATATTATAAAAAACATTGCATATTATTGGAGACTGTTGCTCCAATAATAAGTACATTTAGTAATTTATATGTTACCTGTAACAATGTCATTCAATCATATTTGATAAGGAAATATAAATGTATTATATATGTAAACTGTTATATAGCTATTGATTTGAGGTAGGTTCCACACACGCACACACATACACACACACACACACGTATATAAATAAATAAATAATCTTATTGATGAATAACAATACATTTATTGTTAAATGAATGAGGGTTTGTGTTTTGTACAATGTAAAATGTAAAATGTACTTTGACTTAATAATTGGACTGTATATATATATCAACAAATAACAAAAGTTCAATATGTATAGATAGAATACGTATGCATTGTGTAAGTATATTAAGGAGGTACAACACATAATTGATCTACCTGGGATTTCTAAAATGCTTTGCAGTTTATCAAATGTTTCTCATTTTCTCATCAAGAAAATCAGACTTTAAGGGTCCAGTGTGTAAGAAATAGGTGAAAGGGAACTATTGGCAGAAATTTAATGTAGAATAATCCTCATGATGTTTTCACTAGTTTGTTTCTTCTAACTTGTATGAATTGTAGTTTTCTTAACCCCAGAAAAGACCCTTTATATTCAAATACTTTATATTTACATCGAGGGGGTCCTCTTTACGGAGGCCGCCGTGTTTTTTACATTAGTCCAGACTGAACAAACAAAACACCTTTTGAGTTTTTATGACAACTGAAGCTACCACAGGTTCTTTTTCATGTTTGGAAGGAGAGGTTGAGGTGAGGGGTGTTCAGCTGCAACCTGCAACTTCAACAGTAGATATAATAACATTCTACACACTGTACCTTTAAAAGAAATAATAAAATGACATTTATCTTGATAATAATCGATATCTATGGCCCAGAGTGTGCGCCTCCCATCCGCAACTCTTTTATTTTGAAGGCAGTGAGCGGAAGCGCGGTGTGTGAGCCGCTGACAGCTGTGTGTTGTGTGTGTGTGTGTGTGTTGTGTCCGGTGTGTCGTGTCCGGTGTGCGTTGTGTGTGTCTGTGCCGCAGCGGTCCGTCATGTCGCTGCGCTTCACCGATGAGGACTTCCAGAGAGCGTGGACGGAGCTGGACGAGCCGCAGCTGGGGGGCGGATGGGAGCATTTCACCGAGACCATGGGAGTGAACATCCACCGCCTCTACGACAAGGTGCAGAGCCCCAGACACCCGCTCCACATCCAGGTCCTCCCTGCAGGACACCCCCGCCTCTGACTCCATCAGTGAATGGATGTCTGCCTGCTAAGTCTCTACTGCCACTATTCTTTAAGTGACGTCATCCATTAATTAGTAATTCATTAATGGCAACATTCATAAACACCTCAGCGGTGGGGGTCCTAGCGGTGAGAGAGGGAAATACCCGGAAACTAATCAGTTTATTTCTTTTTCCTTGTGTCAAAAACCAGCTCGACCTGTTCCACCCAAGGTTACTATAGTTTCGAAATTGTCATTAGTTTTTATTTTTATATAGTTTTTCAGTTTGCTTTTTTATTTCAGTTTAGTTTTAGTAAGTTCAACAAGTGATTTTGTAGTTTCAGTTTAGTTTTTATTTAGTTTTAGTCTTAGTTTTAGTTTTTCCAGGTATTAAGAGAAAGCCTTGACTTGGGTGAAACAATGTGTGACACCAGATATGGTTTATCAAGTCCTTTATTTTCATTCTTTAACCATCACCTGCAGGACAGGCAGTAATCGAGGGAGAAAACGAAACGACAACGAAGCTGAATTTATCTGCAATTCAGTTTTGTTTAGTTAGGTTTGAATTGTTCATTGTCGTTTTTATTTAGTTTTCGTTTCTTTTGTAATTGACGTTTTTATTTTTATTTCAGTTAACTAAATTGTGTTTTCACTGCTAGTTTTAGTTTTAGTCTTAGTTTTCGTTAACTATAATAACCCTGGTTCCACCAAACTCCATTCAGAAACCTATCTATTTTAAACTCCTTTTTAAAATGTATTTTTTTTGCAAATAAGCACATCTGTTCAAACTTTGCTAAATACCTTTATAAAAGGATGCACTCCATGGTTTAGTTCTGCATACACCTGAAAGGTCCAGCATCTTAAACTGAACTTAAATCAAAGTCTAACATTGAATCAAATCCTATAGCTTTGTATAAAAAGGCAAAGAGGTAATGATGTCTGATCTACTGAGATGGTTTTCATAGTGCTGCCATACAAGCCAGGAGCCAGTCAGATTTACCTCAGCCCTCAAGTTCAGCCTGTATCATTGATGACTAAAAGACTTGATGACGCAAAGATGCACAACTGAAGTTATGTCCCTAACATCCGCTGGTGGTGCTACATCTGCTAACATCTACTGGTAGTTGGTAACTTAAGTTGTGCAAAAGACCTTCCAATGTAAAATAGATATTCACCATCTAGTCCTATAATCTGAAATTAAAGATAAAATGTTGTTTTGAGAATCACTTGCACGATGAATAATGTAAAGACTCCTGCTTGGTTTCTCTAAAATATGGAAACATGACATTAAACATTAAAAACAGTGTATAGTAGACGGTTTCTTTGAAAAATTACCAAATAAAATCTATTTTAAATATGTTTGTGTCATCATCCAAATAGGCTTTTTCATGTTAAAATTAAAAGTCAAAATCAATTTCGTGATAGGTATTGATGTGCTGTCTACAGCTAAGGGAAAGTGAAGCAACCTATAGAATTGGTGTTTTTGTGAATGGAGTTAGTTTGACCTTCCTATCTATTCCAGTTCAGCCACAGAATCTGCAAAAATCTGACTGCATGTTCCGTTTGTTTATTGCACTTAAGGGAGTTAACTGTGTTTGAACTTCAGAGTCAAATCCAGCACATTTCCTCAGTGTAGAGTGAGCGAGGGTGTAACGGTGAGCGGCTCTAATCAGAGTCGTGTGGCCTGGGATTAGTTACATACTGTGGGGTGTGGCCTGGAGCCTGAGCAGAACTTTCATGTGCTTTTTTCAGGAAACTGGACTTTATGAGTACAAAGTCTTTGGCGTGCTCGCCGGCTGCACCCCAGAGCTGTGTGCAGACGTCTACATGGACTTGTCCTATCGGAAACAATGGGATGGATATGTGAAAGGTAAAATATAATGAAATCAAAAAAACAGACGATCATTGTCCTTCCATCAAAATCAGCTTTTCATTCATTCCTGCCGAAGAAATCATCTTCATTTTCAGTTGCTTCAAGGGATAGTTCACTAAAAAATGTGTATCTCTCATGTACTCACCACTACTACCGATGGGGGGGTGAAATGTTTTGATTCCACAAAACACTTCTGGAGTGTCAGCGCTAAACCGAGTTGAAGCCAAATCCAATACAATTGAAGTAACTGGCGACCACGTCTTCAAACGTAAAAAAAAACAACAAATACTGCTCCTGTGGTGTCATCCAAGCCCCGACATTCATATTCCACTTGAAACGGCATCATTTACACCATATCTTCAGCCTATATAACCTCTGATATCCTCCCCCCCAAGGGTGCGCGGTAGCATCGCTTATTCCGGTAGCATTAGTTCCGGTACCAGCGCTGCATAGCTGCAGTTAGTGCTGAGTCGCTGATCGTCACATGCCCCTCGGGCGAGAGCATAGAGGCGCAAGCCGGTTTTCTTACGTTTGAAGAAGTGGTCGCCATTTACTTCAATTGTTTTGGATTTAGCTGCAACAAAATGACCCCTGAGACTCCAGAAGTGTTTTGTGGACTCTTACACTTCACCCACCTCTCCATCGGCAAAGTGGTGATTATATACTGAGTGAATTTTAATTTTTCGGTGAACTATCGATTTAACCTCTATAGTTGCTCACACCCTCCTCACATTAAGTAGCCTTAATCTTCTTCATGTCATGAAATAATGTCCGGTATACAGGCTTGGTTTTATCGTTCCAGTTTTACAAAGAAGCAGCATTTTAACTTTTGTTCCTCTTCTTCATGCACCTCAACAGTAACAAGGTAACATACATTACATTAGTTTGTAGTCAAGTAGTCATGTAGTGACCTTGTCGGTGTGAATCAGCTACATTAGTTTAAGTTGCAGGCATAACATTTGTAGAAGTGGCTTCCATTGTTTTCATTTATTGCCTTTATAAAATAGACACCTTGGTAGAACCACCGATAAATGGTTACGTGTCACTTTTTCGGATCTGATGTGTCCATCGTCCTGCAGCTGATGTCTATTTGCTTTTTACTAAATGTGTTTTCTTATCATTCAGAGCTCTATGAGAAAGACTTTGATGGACAGCCAGCAATCTACTGGGAAGTCAAATACCCAGCTCTCATGTCAAACAGAGACGTATCCTGTTGAACTTATTTTCTCTCTGTTTACATCAAATATGGTTGACAAAGCTGAAAGGAGGAGGTTGTTGTTGAGAGAGTATTTTCCCACGAAAGCACAGTGTCTTCCCTAACAGACCCAAACCTCAGTATGTGTACGTTAGGGAGAGGAGAGACTTGAATGTGGACGGCAGGAAGATCTGGGTGATCCTGGCCAGAAGCTCTCCAGAGACTCCGTGTGCAGAAAAGAGTGGCGTGCTGCGGGTCAAAGACTACAAGCAGAGCCTTGCACTGGAGAGCGACGGAGGGTGCGGAACTAAAGGTGACATGTGTTGAGTATTACAGCTGTGACCCAGTTCAGGGGCTGCATCCATTGGAGGATTCGATCTAGTGGTCGAGCGGAAATGAGACATCTGTTCTCCAGACAATTTCCTTTTTGCATCACCAGCTTGTCCTAATTTGCAGTGAGCCGTCTGCATAGCCAGCTAGCTAGCTTTGTCACTGGTGTGCCGGGATTGGATGCTCTGTTGCTAGACAGCCCAGTGCCGCTGTGATGCAAAGGGTCTTCAAATGCAACCAAGGATGCGGCCGCTGAATTGAGACACAGCTAATGATACTGAATGTAAAGATGTACTTCTGAAATCAGAAGCTGATTACTTGGCTGTTATTATTCAGAATTATTACAAAGTTAACGTTTGGCTAGGAATTAATAATTTTTTTGTTCATTTCAATTTCAAAAAATAAAATAAGAATTGATGGATTAGTTTGTGAAAACAATCATTAGCTGCAGCCCTAACATAAATGTGCTTTTTTTTTTAGTTTTCATGAATTACTTCGATAACCCCGGCGGTATGATTCCCAACTGGGTGGTGAACTGGGCAGCTAAGGTACGTGTGTACATGTTTGTTTTACTTCAACTTTTCATTTCACTACAATGCATGACAGAGAAGACAATGCAAGTACACATAAAATCGAGTAGCTTCGGGCGCACTGGCCTCACTGAACAGTTACAGATGGAGCACATGCAGAGAATTTCCTCACTGAGATAAATGAATTTTAACTTTACATGACTGGTTTGAATCAAGCTTTCATGTCTGTAAGTTGTTTTATTCTGGTATTATGGAAGTAGATAAAAAGATAGGGACCAGAAAATGTGTGTAACATTTTCCATGATTTGTTGTAGAATGAAATTGTTTATTTTATGTAAACCAGCCTCATTTGGAAATATTTCTCAACAAAGGGGATCTGTGTATTTTCATTAGCTGTGTAAGGATTATGTCTCCTCAGCAAATTAAAAAGCTCTGTTTTAAAGTGCCCATATTTTTTATTATATATACATATATACAGTATATATATATAGCCCAGTCTGCTCCAGTGGGTCAGCTGTCCTTCCTCTTTGTGATTGGCCAACCCCTTTACAGAGAAAACTGAGGATGCAAACAAGGCTTTTCAGTAACAGAGTTTTCTGTGGGAGAGAACTTTTCCCTTTGAGAGAGCGAAACACTTGTTCTAAATATCCTAAGGATGTAATGTATTCTGAGTTACTTCTCTTTCCAACCAGCACATGTGTCTGTTGTTGCCCTACACAAACGTATCTTTGAAGCGGGCGTTAAACGAGTTCATTCACAGGCCTCAGAGAGCTCCATCGCTCCGCCTGCTTCATGCTTGTTCCAGTGTTATTGTTAACAGATGTGTTGCAGGGTGATGTTAATCAGCTCCTCACTTCGGTGCCCCTCCTGGGTGGGTCTTCTTGGCACTTGCTGTCATGACGCTCACTGACGGATACTCTCTTTGTGTGTGTGTGTTAAACAGAGCGGGGTGCCAGCTTTCTTAACAGACATGCAGAAGGCCTGCAGCAAATACGAATCCTACTGCCAGAAGAAATGAACACGGCGGAATGGGACTCGGGCTCAAGGGCTTAGCTCCCTTTTTATCCTGTATTACTTTATGTTGTATGTTGAAATGTGAATGCTGTGTGCGGGGTGAAAGTGGCACGGTGTGGGCTGCTACCTGAGGTTGTAGCTTGCTGTTGACTCAGGCATGATGACCAGCCTCCCTCCTAAATATCCTGGGGTGATTTTATTCTGATCCATTGTACTGTAATGATCAATACTGTATTCTCTTTTCTTTGACATCATTTGATTATATTCTAAATATATATATATGATCAGTTTTTATTACTTTAGGCCCTAAATGGTAAAACCAGCTCCTTTTTCACAGTCTTTTCAAGGCAGGAATGTTTTATGTTCTGTAGAAAAGGTACAAACGCTGAACAGGAAGACTTTGTGCCAGTGTTGCATCAAAGAGTGATCGTCTGTTAAGTGGAAAACTAACTTATATGAGCTGCATATCCGCCTTAATTTAAACCGGTAAAAAGGACGGGATTGGTCACAAAGTAAAATAAGGATAATTGCAAAGAAATGATTTCTGTATTACCTCAGCCAAGGAGTATATGATTTCAACTGTGTTTATTGGTTTGCAGGATTGCTCAGAAAATACTAGTCAGATTACCAAAAAACCTGGAGGAAGGATGCAGTCGGGTTCAGATCTTAACAAATGGTCAGATCCAGGATTTTTGACTTTCTTTGCAGCGTTTCACAGAGAACGAATTCATGAATGTTGCCTGTAATCAAGTAGTCTGACTGTCCTGCCTGATTATGCTCTTAACTGTAAAGACTACTTTGGCCACAGATGTGATCATCAAACACTAAAATTGAACAAGCTCGTACCTTCACTATAATTTGGGACTTTACATAACGTGTGTAACCAGCAACCGGCCACCAGGAGGCGACTGAGATGCTTTGGCTTCACTTTTGGGAGCCATCATGCCATCTATGTAAAATCTATGGATCCGACTCACGAATACTGAGTCCTTATGACACTCAGGGGTCGGACTGTCCACATGTTTACAGACATCTCCTCTGATGGTCTCCAGTTAGTTAAAGTTGCAGCTACCAGTCCCAACCTACAGATCTGATTTATCATGATGTTTTCATTCTTCTCACTGTCCACTTCAATTCACTGGAATTCACTCATTTGTTACAATGGAGTGAAAATGACGAATCAAGCACTTTTTAAAAATATGTTCGGCATCTTGTCCTTTCTTGCGGGTTTATTACTTATGCAAACATCATGTTATGGATGCATTGAATCAAAGATACAGTATCTGATTCGTCATTGTATTTAGGCTGCACCTCAGTACCTCAATGCTCCTGTTGATACACATGAATGTGGTTTAATCTGATTATGAAATGTTATTACTGTGTAATACTGCTGTGTTACTGGAATAAACCTAAATTTGACCTTTTCGATGTGCAAACTGTTTAACGCATTTTTGTTCTCCAGCACTTACTTTCACATTCACTATCACACAATGTGACGTCACAAAGAAAATCCCCTCCAATTCAATTCCATTGAGAATAAGGTTTAAACAGTGTCACCTTGGCCAAAACTGATGCAGGTTATAATATATAACGTAGGTTTTCTTTTTTAAAGAGGTGTTGATGTCTTAGTTATCCTGCCCTCTTTGATACAAATTGGCTAATTTTGGTGCACGTAGTTTGTGGTGTTGTTGAACTGTATATTTATTTTATTGAACAGACCCTGAATTATTTGGAAAAAAACACGTCATCACTCATAATGATCATACTGTTAAAATAGCCATTCTTATTTTTTTATTGTTATTGATAAATCATAAATCATATTGATTGATAACCACTCTACGATTTCCATCCCTATACCTTGTCATAGAGTCTAACAGTGCTCAATTTGAACATTTTAATTAGAATTATCCTTATTTCTGTTTTGTCTTTTACCTCGAACCTTAGCCACAACATCAAATGAAATTATTTAAATAGCCATGCAGTGGGAGATGTGGTTCATGCAAAGGAAATGGAAGTAACTATGATTTAAACTCAGTGCTCTGACTTCCCAGTAGTCCCCTTAAATTCTGCCCTAAATGTCACTCACTCATAGATATAGCTTCCCTGTGCACCAACAATTTACACTAATGGTAATATACTCCTGCAATATAATGGTTACAGGCCAAAGGTAATTATATGAAAATAAAAAAAACATTCTCCTTCCATGCCAGACTGTAACAGTGAAGACAACTTCAGGTAGTGTCAGGCTGGGGTTGTTTAATCCTGGGCTACTTTTGCATACTGTTGGGTCAGTTTCCAAGAAGGGATGTTCCACCCCTCTGTGCCAAACGTTCATCTATTCTCAGTGTCCTCGGCTACAAACGTTTTGGGATCATTTATTAGATTTTTTGTGTTGGCAAGGCTTTTAGCTCGGAGTGTCCCCCAGCTCCTTAATCTGCGCTCTTTGGGGTGGTCAAGTCAGGAAGAGAGCTCAGGTCATACGCTCTCTATCCACACTGCTGGCCAAATGTTTGAGATGTGGTTGAACAAATTTCGTAATGTTTCACATCTGGAGAAAATTTGATTTTCAATATTAAACAGAGAGACTCTGGCATCATATCCTTGGCCTAAGTGAAAAATTAAAGTGAATACTGATGGTCTGACTGCTTTACTCTGTCTTTGTTCATCAGTACTTTGTAAGTGATAAATTATGTGCAACATTTCCTTCTTGTGATACCACCAATGTTTTTTCTTTCTTTCTTTCTTTTCCTTGCTTGCCATTAAAGCTTTAATTTCTTTCTCTCTTTCTTTGCTTTTGTTTACTCTCTATTTGTTTGTTGTGTGTGCATTCAATTTGGGGTTTAAAAATATGTTGTAAAAATAAATTCACACAAAAAAAGATGCTGCAGAATTCCCCTGAGAATCATCAGGTTTTTGACTTTCCCTCAGAATAAAAGTAACTCACTGACATTTGTTTGGTAAAATCGATGGAGCATGGCAAACAGGAACTACCGGGGGTGAATTCGGCGCATGTGGTGCTGGGTATTGGGCGGGTTCTGGCCTCTGATTGGTCCACCAGTCTGAACCGGTGACACCTGACAGGTGCTACAGCTGCTGCCGTGCAGAGGGGCCTGGGGTCGGCCTCTGTTTGCTGCGTGTGTCCTGAATCTGCAGGAGGAACCAGGAGGAACCAAGAACCCAGTGTATGTAGAAAACTTTGTGCTTGTGTCACTCTTGTGAGTGTGTTAGTGATGGTAAACGTTTTTATCAAGCTGCATCCTTCCAAAATCTGTAGGTGTTTAGCATGTTAGCTCCCTGACTGCAACATGTGATGCTTGACTCATGTTTTAACAAGATTTCAAGTTACTAAACACAAAGTTTGTCAAAGCTAACAAACCAAACGATCCAAACAGAATCAGCCAACTGCTTTAGCTTCAGTTTATGATTGACCTACCACATCTTGCTGCTCCATCATCTTTTCTGAGCTGGCAGCTGAGCCCCAGTTAGTGCCACTTGTGTAATAATTATCATAATATTTGATTCTTTGGAGCTCTTTTACAAATCCAGTTTACAAAGTGCTTGATGAGGCAGCAGTTAAAACAAACAAGTCACAAAACGTGACAAAATTATCAGACCTAAAAGACAATAAGATCTGATACACAGGTACAAAAACATCTTAAGATAAGACACTTAAAATCCAAACAAAGGTTGGACATGGATTATTTCCTATTTTATCTTTACAATAAAAAAACTAAATGTCAGGATACATTATTTTACATTTATGTCGACAAGAATGCATTTAAATTGTATTTGTATAATATATTATATTATTTTATTTCTTATGATATTGGTATGGAGAGCTGAGCGGACATTTTGAAATGACAGATCTTTTTTTGTCCTTGCTGCTTGTTTTCAACCCGCAACCCTAACTTTATTTACAAATGTGTATTTTTTTACAAAGATTGCAGATGTTGGTCAACACAGAAAATACCTGGTTAAAGTGTCAGTACATTTAAATAGACAGCCATGTAGACAAATAAATATTAATCAGAAAAAGTAAAGTACATGCATATGTTATGTAAAAAAAAAAGAAAGATATTTAACATAAACATAAAGAACAATCAAAAAGTGTTTGTTGCTTATTGAAAAGTTGATTCTACATGTGGTCAGTTTTGGATGTCTGGTGTTTATTTCTGTGCCTGTGACGGACTTTTCCTCTAATGTCTGTTTATATAAAACATTTTTACAAGAGGTTTTTGGTGACTACAACTTTACTATATGAAAGTGGGACTCTCAAGCCAGATGTTGCCGAACCAATTGTAAAGAATTTTACTCCATTCATTCCTTAAGAGACGCAGCTCAGTCTTCTCCCTTGTGTTTCATTCTCACGCAGACATCGTCCTGCGAAGTTTCAATGAAATGGGAAAAGTCAGCAAAGATGTGACGCCTCTCCTCGTCCAAAGGGTCACGCTGCGATGTCCTGTTCCTGTCCGCGTGAGCAGAGTATTGGAGCAGACAGCCGCATGTTGAGAAGGTTGGTGTGTTCAGTTTGAAACATTAAGGGTTTAAACAGACAGAAATCTATTCGGGGTTTGGTACTTCTTAAGTCACTTCATTTTGGCTCTGGTGCCGACTGTGTTTATGTTGCTGCTCCTACACGTTGACACTCAAGCTGTCTGATCACATTAACATGACACCCACACACTTGATAGTTGAAGGCCTCCTCCCAGATCTAAAGGCATTCATTTGCTGCATATAGTGCAATGATTGATCAATACTCAAATTTGTGTAGATGATTACCTCTTTCAAGGAGGGTGTTTTCGTATTTAGTTTGCAGGACAACACAATAACTACTGGACACATTACATGAAACTTAGTGGAAAGATGTGTTACAGGTCAGAGAAGAACTTAATGAACTTAAACGCAGGTCTGGATCAGGGGGCGGATCCAGGATTTTATTTTTTTCACTCTATAACATAGAAACTTTCATTGATTTCTCAGAGAATAATTTAAAGATCTTGATGAAAAACATCTGGCACGTTGAGGGGACCAATATCTATGATAATAAAAATCTGGACCTAGTAAATTAAGATGTGGGTCCGCTGTGGCGGAGGAATACACCGTTATTCTGGAATTTAATGTTTTTAATTTTCGGATGATATCTATTACACACGTTGAATCAAAGACCTGGTATACATCATAATTCTACTTGTTGCTGAGGAGGAGTTCTAAGTGGAAACAATGAATTAAGAGGTCATTTCCTTGTCGCTCCTATAATCCTCCTGATTACTGGGCTACCGCAGACGTAATAGTGAAACCAGGCCAGGGACCTTCACCCCCCCCCACACACACACACACACACACTCTCTCTCTCCGTGCTTTGACACCATCCCGCCCTGCCTTGCTTTTTTTTTTTTTTTTCCTGTGCTCTGATGAGTCGAAAGACTGAAGTGCAGGCCCAGATGTTTCCTGGCGGAACAAGATGGTTGTGGTTTCCTATGAGGTCACCTTACTGGTGGCATAGTAGTGATGGTTGCAGTGGTCTGCACTGACCCGCTCCCCCCCTCGCTGTCCGTCAACCATGATCACATGACTGTATCTTTGCACCAACTCTGTTCCCACTGCCTCAGTCACATTCTGTTATGGTGTTTCAAGCAAGACTAAGCGCTAAAGAAACTTTTAGTACGTAGAATTGTCTAAGAGCGCTCATTAATAGCTTAAACAAAACCGGGCCTTTCCAGATTCAAATCATTTTACAGTAACTTCCACAATCAGATAAACTGTGGCTTTTTAAAGTGCAGTCTTCATCAGGTTCAGCATTACTCAGTATTTTCTGCTTAGTGATGAAGACTTTGGTATATTTTTGGTTTTGTATAATAATGAAAGTGAAGTCTGTTGTTGATGGTCACTACCTGATGGCTCAGTGATCTTTGATGTTTTTACTCCCTCTGGTGGTGAAATGCATACATTGACTGAGGTCCTTCCCATGTGCATTAATAAGAGCGTGCATTTTTTTCTGTCATTATCTCTGTGTTTAATGCAGGGCTGAAATATTGGACGGATAATGTGATAATCATTATAAAAAATCTGAGACCCATCGATCCAAACAATGGCAATGACATTTCTATGTTCTAGTTCAGTGAATATTTAAAATTTTTTAGCCCAAAAAGAATAATCTCGAGAAAAGTTAAATTGGAGAAACCCAGAGGCTGTGTCCGAAATCACCCATTAATCAGCTTACAGTCCAGTATGATGTGAATTTGACGTTTTGTAGTGCTGTCCGAATATTAAATGACATTTTTATACCCTATAGTGGACTCATTGTATCCCACAGTGCAAAATGAAAATTGAAGTGCAACCGATTTTCACTAACTGAGAAATATATTCCATCATGCATTGCGCTTGTGGCACTGACAGGAAGAAAAATGGTGGAGAGACGAGGGGAGAGAGAGCAGCCTTCTTTCTCTGCTGATTCTGCTCCCTATTCATTTTCAGACTGATTTTAAAACGGTCTGTTCAAGTGGACGTCCCTATATTGCCAATATTTCTGGTGTTTTTTTTATGACCCGAATGAGACGAATCTGAGTTGTGTTGTTAAAATGAATAATCAGAGCAGCTCTTTACACCACAAACAGAGGCAAAAAGGTTTATTTCTATATTTATAGATGGCCAATTAACATGCTTTTACTGAAGAGTGTTATAAGTGTAAAATAAACATTTCAAATTAATTATGGGATTTTTGGCCAATAAGCTCACAATAGACCTCTAGAAGTCCCAAGATGGTGGGTAGGGGTCAGTAAACCATTTTGGAAAGTTTTGCTGCCATAAAATAAAAAAAGAAAAGAACCAACAAAACAAATTGTTGATTTCAGATAAACATTTCAGACTAAACATTTGTAAACAGGCCTGATCTCGGTGTCCAGGTGCACAACAATGAGTTGGTTATTAACCTGACACCAGTTTCCAAAACTTGCACTGGAACTGTGAGTTTTATTTGAATGTTAACTGTCTGACTGATTGGATGTGAAAGGGCGAGGAGATCCAGTTTCCACAGAGGTCGTCCATCCGTTTGTTTGGGAATAACATTGGTAGGAGTGACAAAAATCAGGGACGCTGAGATCCCACTTTAATTCAACATTTTATCCCCTGGAATGTCTCGGGTGAATAATATTCGCTCGTGGACTCTTTCCACTGCCAGTCTTTCACAAATGGAAGACAAATATATTTCTTGGCCGGCCATTGTGTTTCAGAGCGAGGTTCTTTTGATTGGTAATGTACAGGGCTAATTAGCTTAAGAAAGTGATATAGTTTTTCTGCTGGACTGCTGCTCCCCCTTAACGTCAGCTCAGATTTCCCAGGTGCCTCTCTGTCTGCCAGAGGTAACAAAATAATGGCTCCACTTGGAAGCCTATTTTTCAAAGTCGTTTTTTTGTGTGTGTGTGTGATTTTTAATAGATTACTATTAGAGATATTAGTGCACTCAAGGGAATCCTTTACCCTGAATAGGCTTTTATGTGTTTTCTTCCTTTTTCTACTTACCGCTGTGCAAAGCAGCAATATTTCGTTGGAAGGCCTCCTGCTCTTTTATGCACGCAGATAAACATGGAAGCTCAACGTGAGCTCATTTATAGGAGAAAAACTAAAAAACTAATTTCAATGCATCAATTTTTTTATTTTTTTCTCTGCCACAGAATTAAATAAAATGTTCTTATGGAAACTTCAATGCTGAAATTATTGCATCTTATCCAGAAGTAAATGGTAAATGTATCTGTATTTTTATAGAGCTTTTCTAACCCTAACCCCACTCAAAGTACTCAACAGTACAGTTTTGCCATTTACACACACACACACACACACACTCACATTCATACTGTGCAGCACTTTCTCTGCCACACATCACTCACACACTGTCGGCACTGCTATCAGGGTTCGGGGTACAGTAACTTGTCCAAGGACACTTTGGCCCTGTCAGACTTTCTGGTTAGTGGATGACCTGCTCTACCTCCTGAGCCACAGCTGCCCTGAAGTGTCATAAGCTGCTTTTAGACCTGTACTGAAGTCCTTATATGAGAAGGCAAATGCCCGAATCAGTTGCTCCGGACATTTTCCAAAAAATGTTTCCTGCCAGCACACTTGGAAAATGTGCGAAAAGTACGTGTTGATGACGTTTCTACCATGTGACAGACACGTAACTGGAAAAATACAAATATCTCAGGGTTTTTTGTTGAAACTAAAATAAATATTACGGCTGAGTCAGTAGCTTCTCCTCCCACCATTGTCGGTTTGCTGTTATTTAAAAAATGTGTCCTGCCTCCTGTATGCTCTACCCAGGCTGCACCCTCACCTGGACATTTTCCTGTTGTTGTGAATGCGTCTGACCTGGACAATCTCCTGCTGCGTTCCTCATATGTGAAAGATGAACTCCAGAAAATATCCGAACCCACTTTTGCGTACGTCACCGGTGGTCATGTCTGAAAACAGTCATGGTGTGAATACATCCAAGTCTACATACATTTTGAATTTATAATACAGAATGAATAACCTTTCATCATAGTGTTACACTTTCTCTGATATCGATGGAAGCAGTTGTGCCAAGAACAAACAACTCTTCGGTCACGGCCAATCACGTAAAGTGAGTGTTGTTGTTGGACTGTGGGTTTTGGAAGAGCTGCAAAGTTCGTTGAACACAGAATCTGAAATTCTGACAATGGGGAAATATCCACTCTCGCATCAACATGCAACATACAAACCCTGACAGCAGCCATGCTATTGAAAACGGCCACATGTGTGTTTTTCAATACTCTGATTTAGCTGCGTAGTCGCTGGAGGGATCAGCAAAAGAAGCCAGTGCAGCATCTGACAGCACTTTTCCATAATTCACCAGAAACTCATCCGAGCGAAAAATCTTCTGGCTCTTTGTCCAAAAGAAAATCGGTCATCAGCAGTAGCTGAGTATTGAATTCAGAATTTTAGTAATTCATGTGAAGATCATTGCCAGTACAGTTTGAGCTTCTGCACTGATACAAACACCTGTTGACAAACAGGAGCTCTGTCTGAAATGAAGAAGTCTCCTGAACTTTGATACCTTCATCTGTAGTTATGGATTAATTTGAATAAAAAACATCTTACAGTAGTTTTGCTCTCTCACTGAAGCTCCTGACAGCTCATCAGTAATCTGGACCACACGTCTGTATCATTGTGATGTCACGTCACATCGATGCCCAGCATTTGCATTATACGCCTTGTTTCCGGGTTGAACGCCATGTTTCCTCGTGACGTTGTGTGTCAGGCTTCGAGGTCTGTTTTCTCTCGTGTGGTGGGTGTGTCAGAGTTGTATATAAATCCTGCCATAATAAAAAGGCAGTGACACAATTGATTCTGAAGCTCTTTACTAATTGTGGCAGCTGCTGCTTGGCGTTCACATCGGTTGAGGATGTTGGAAGCTGCTTTTCCAGATGGAAAAAGCAGAAATTGTGACATCAAGTGTGTTTAAAGTATTAAACATGTATTTAAACCCATCTTATCTACATCTGA